ATCCCCGTGCGTATTCGTTTTGTTTTTCTCAATCTTGTTTTCTTCGCATGCGCGTTCGGGCGTTATTCCATCTTCCTGCCCTGACATTCATAAATGTCCTCTCTATTCTTTTTCTTTTTTTATTTCAAGAAGTAATAATCTATCGTCTTGTACTGCATTTTTTATAGAATGATTCAACCTCCCCATCATTTGGTGATTCTTAGTACATTAAATCCTGATCGCTACATACACAAAAACATTTTTTTGGATCTTCCTCCATTATTGTGCGTCTCCTTTATTTTCACAGAGGATTGTTATTTGAGAGAGAGAGAGAGAGAGAGAGAGAGAGAGAGAGAGAGAGAGAGAGAGAGAGAGAGAGAGAGAGAGAGAGAGAGAGAGAGAGAGAGAGAGAGAGAGAGAGAGCATGATCTAATGGAAAATCAATGTCTGCACTTTGGACGACAAAAATTACAAATTATCTCCACCACCATTTTCGTTACCCCTTATTTCAACAGTTGGTCAATAAAACTCAATTGCCAACAAATCAAAAGGCATTAATAATAATCAAATCAAATCCCCTTTCTTGAAAAAAGGGTTCTTGAAATACCTCAAAAAAGTCCTTCCCCACCACTCCCACAATTTCTGGTGTTTTTTTTTTTGTTCTTTTTCTAAACACACTACACTATTACAGCACTAGTAGTAGTCTACAGTAACCTATCAGCCAAACCCGGAAGCCTCCTGAAAAAACTCAAACTCGCCGGCGGCATCGGATCCCTAAACATCGGGTGCCGTAGAAAGTAGAACCCTAGTGCCACCGCCACCATTTTCGCCGGCACAATGTACATTATTATTGTTATTGCAAGACACACCCCTATAAACAATTTTGTCGCCCTCGGGTCCCTCCAACTAACTAGTGCCTGGATTCTCTCACCCTGCGTCGCAATATCACCCAAAACCATCTGCACCCTAGCCGCCAACACCCTTAACCTATCGTACCGGACCCGCACAATCTCGGGCGGCCTCGAACTTGGGAAAGTATCGAACTCCTCGTCCAATTCATCCGGGTCGATCCTATCCACTTGCGAGAGCTTCACATCCATGCCCGCGGGTATTTTCGGTTTGAAACGGTAGTACCAAACCCCAATCAAGAACACGTAGAGAAAACCCGTCGGCACAATCAAATCCGGGTACCAAACAAGGACCAAGTACAAAACGTGCACCAATACCGTCGTAACCGGATTCTTCCATCTCCGGATATGGTCCAACCACTTGGCCAACCCTACGGCCCACGCCAAAACGGCCACGATCCGGAACCAGTTCGCCTTGCTCTTCCTCATGCTCCAGCTCTGCGAGTCCGAGTCCAGCATGTACCGGACCACCTCCGGGCCCAGCGGCGGCTCGGACCTGGCCAGCCAGGCCGCCACTATCCTGGCGGCCGCACCACGCAGCGCCTCCTGGTGGGCAACCCCCAGGGGGCGGAGGTGGTGCATGCGGGGCAGCAGCGGCTGCCCGTAGACCCCGCACGTGTCGGGCAGCATGGACGGGCAGGCGAACCGGACGGCCAGCTCGACCTCGCCCATCTTCTTCAACCCGCTCCGCGACAGGACCATCAACGGGTACGAGTTCATGTACACCTTGTTGCTCTCCAATGTGGATACCCGGATCCGGACTTTTCCGACCCGGCAGTCCGGCTTCTCCTCTCCTCCGCCGCCGCCGGGTTCGGCGAACATGCGCCAGTTGTCGAAAACGCCTATCGTCAGAACGGTGCACGGGTCGTAGACCTGCCACGTGTACTGCTCGTTCCACCTCGGGTCGAAGGTGTCGGTCACAGTGCGGGTGCGGACCCACTTCTTGCCGTACTTGGCCACACAGTAAGAATCCGTGGACCCTTTTCCGTTGCCCTTCGACTTCATGGGCAGCAATCCCCTACAGCCGAGAATTCCGAGCTCCAATACACCAACAGCAGGCTTCCACAGCTGCTTTGCGGTTGGTCTGAAATCGCTGCAAAGATGGGCTGCTTCGTCAAGCACGTGGTACCCACCCTCCAAGCACATTCTCAAGTGGACCCTACCGCAGTACGAGCCGCCTCCACCTCCGGGGCCGCCTTCAAGGCCGTGCCACTTCGGTGCCACGTGGCGATCGTCGATTCGCTGCTCGATAGACCCCACGGGTATTAGGATGTGGCCGAGGAGCACTGGATCTTTTCCGGTGCGGTCTTCGACTAGTAAGATGAGGCTGTCTTCGAGTGGCTCGCCGGCGACGAAGAAGAGGTCTTCGTTCCAGTGGAATGCGGAGGTGTGGTGGGTCATGGATCCTCTCCGGGTACGGGCAGATTGAAACCCGAGTTGACCTTTGACCCGAATCTCTGGGGCGGTCAACGGGGGTAGATTGGGGATTATGTGGAGATCCTGTGCTTCGAGGATGGTTACCCTGAGGTACCATAGTTTCGGGGCCTGGTACACTTTCGGGCGCGTGTACGACACGTACGGCTGCGGCGCGTCTGCGCTTGACGATTCCGGGAACGCGTCGTCGGCCTGCGTTCCGATCCACACTGACAGCTGCAGATCGCCGGAGATTCTGTTCTGGTCTTCGGCGGCGGCGCCGCCTTCCAGGTGGTACCACTGTGGGGCCAGGGGGCTGTCCGGCGGGTCACGCACGGGCACGTCGGAGAGATCGAAGCAGACGCCGCCGAGGAATTTCTCCGACGTGCCGCCGTCCCAGACGGATATTTCGAGCGTGGAGTTGGCGGCGGTTTCCTTGTTGTAGCCCAGGGCGAACACTTGCTGCCACTCGGGGTTGGCCGGCGAATCGGTTCCCGGCGGAATGACCGCCGTCTTTGACCGGAGGAAATGGCCGGAAGTGCGGATTTTCACGTGTGGGTTTTCGTTCTGGGATAGACCACGGGCTTTCACTATTCTCACGAACAAGTACTGCATCGGCTCGACCAAATCGAACGCCTGAAATTTCTCCGACGTATCTCCGGCGGATTTCCCGGCGATTATCCTGGGCGAGTAATCCCCGTTCGACGGGCGCCGCATCACCTTCACCCTCTCTCCGTCCATGGTCGGGGGTGGGACAGGCACACCATTGCTCCCCATCTGCATTTTTCTCAAATCCGGCGAGAATCCAGGCGGCGGCGGCGGCGGACCATTCTCCGGCGGAGGACCATGACCATGACCATTCTCCTGCGGCGGAGCCTCGTGAAACCTGACAACCATAGGTGGCGAATGCTGCCGCGGGTCCATCGCTACATGATGCGTCGTCGGAAACTGCATCGACGGTGGTGGGGGCGGCTCTTCCAAAACCACCAACACCGGCTTCTTCATCACCTCCTCCGGCGCCTGCTCCCCCTCCTGCGGCGGCGGCGGCGCCGCCTCCTCCAGCGGCGGCTCCTCGGCGATCTCATCGTAGTAATAAATCTTCAAACCCAAATCACCTTTAATCCAACTGAACACACTCTTCTTCTCCAAAGTAAAATAAACCAACCCTTCCTCCCCTCTTCTAACAAACTGAGAACCGTACAATTTCACCCTCCCCAGAAAATGATTCTTTCTCGCGTTGCCATTGCTCAGCTTCTTATCATTGAAAACCTCAACATTCAGCTCCTCGAACTCCATTGTTTTCGGGTCTGTAACAACGAACTCCAACCCTTCATTCCACACCGGATTCAGATTCTTCACCACGGTGGAGGTCCGCCGTTTCTGGCCGTCGAAATCCGCCACCACGTACGGGCTGGAGCTGCCCTGCCCATCTTTCGGGAGAAGCTCACGCGCCTCAATCACCTCGACGATAAGCTTCCGGACGGTGGTGGTCGTCGGCGGCGGCGGAGGATGGTCGGAAGACATCGTCATCGTCTCATAATGGAGGTAACTGCTTCGATTTGGGGATTTCTGCGATTGGAAAGAGAAAATGGTGGGGGAATGTTTTTTGGGGATGTGGGTTTTTTTAGATGTGGAATGTTGTTGTTGTTAATCTGTTATTCTGCACTCTGCACTGTGTGTGTGTGTGAGAGAGAGAGAGAGAAGAGAGAGAGAGAGAGAAGCTGGATTCCATTCTCTCTGCTCAAGTTTTCTGGTTTTTGTTTATTTTATTTCTTCATATTTTATTATTATCATCCCACTTTTTATTTTGCAAATTGTAAATTACTTAAACAAACAGAAGTAGTTAAATTACGAAAAAATCCATTTTATTTTAGTAATTACAATCATTTCTAAACTATGAATTTTCTTACACGTTCATTCTTATGCCGTCAAATTCAGCAGAATCTTCTAGATCCCGTGGAATGTTCACTAGTTTGTATTCGTTTTGTGCAAAAATGTAATTTTTTAATATACCACAATCTGATATTTACAAGCCAATAAACACATCTTAGGATCATCTTGTTTCAAAATATGGAGCTAGAATGAGTTAAAACGGCTACAAACTGAAAAATATTCCACATAATCTAGAAGATTTCACTAAATTTGATACTGCAACAGTAGACGTGTAGAAAGATTCATAGTTGAGGTGGTGGTTATAATTAACCAAATATGTGGGGATTTTTCGTAGCGGCAAATTGCACACCACCCCCTCTAAATTTCTAATTTTTGCACTTTACTCCTCAACTTTTTTAAAAGTGAATGCCTCATTCAAAATGTTATTATAATTGTTGCACATTGCCTACCAAAAATTGGCTTCTGGGGCAAAGTCCAAGCAAAATAATATTTCGAAAGGAAAATATTCTTTTTTTTTTTTTTTTTTAGAGGGGAAAGTCTGAAAATAGAAAATTTATAGGAGGTGAAGTGCATTTTATCATTTTACGTAATTTCACCTTAACTCATGGGTGCATGTGATTTACCTCTTGGTTTTGGGTCCTCCACACAACTTATTTACTATAACTTCATGTTTACACTACAATTGCATTTTACAAATTTAAAAACACTAAATTTTTTCGAGCCATACTATTGTATAATAGATTTGAGATCGTTAAGTTATGAAGCTCGGCTCGAACATTAAAAACGACAAAATATGTCGAGAAAATCAATTTGTGTTCGAGCACAGTTTCAGAAGTTCGATAAAAATTTCTAACAAACATGTGTTCGGCTCGATTCAATTTGTTTACACTTGAAATGAGAGAGGCTGCAGTTACGGAGTTGGATTTTGTCTCAAGTTATACTCTTGAAAAAAAAAAAAAAACAAATTATCTAGATCTACTCCCTTGGATAATTAGTTATAATTATTTCTTAATTAGTATTAAAATAGTAATATAATATGTACTAGATGTCTAGATCTACTCCATTCAATAGTATTTTTGAACTTATTCTTTGATTAAGAAAACTGCAAAGTATGAATATTTGTACTAAGTGAAGAATATAGACATAAATTCTTTTGTACCTCCTTGTGTTAAGTTCTTATATATATCATGTTCGAATTTTCAATGCCATTCTTTCTTCGAGCCACGTAAAGATTTTAATCTTACGATTCGTTTCGACAAAATTAAACTCTTTTTTTTTCCACCATTTAATTCTTCTGCTTTCTTGCATTTACCATCATGCTTTTTCGTTTTTTCGTTTTTTTCGAACAGATTACATTGCCCTATCGTCTCAAAGAAGAGCATATATTCTTCCGAAATAGCTTATTTTTCGGAGTGAAATTTACCCTTTTTAAATCATTCAGCAATAAATAAGATGCTTCTTTTTTTTTTTTGTTGTAAAAAGTTTCCAGCAAAAAAGGCATCTTCTTTATTGATTAAGGTTCTTATTCTTGAAATCCATTGTCAACACACAGCTGCAGCTTTGAAACAAGAATGTTTTCTATGCTTTGTCACTTCATTTTTTTTCATCAGGCTATGTAGAATTGAAAATTGATTCCCTTATTTAAAAGGGGAAAAAAATCTTGTACAAAATAAAGGGTAAATTACGGCCACCCCTAAGATAAGGTCAAATTGTGAAAAAACACCCTCATATTTGGGTAATTACAACCACCTTTTAACTATGAATTTTCTTACATATTCACGTTTGCGGTGTCAAATTTAGTGGAATCTTTCAGATTATGTGGAATATTCTGCAGTTTGTAGCCGTTCTATCCCATTCGAGCTCCACATTTTAAAACAAGATGATCATAAAATGTGTCTCTTGGCTTGTAAATATCATATTGTGGTGCATCTGAAACTGCATTTTTGCACAAAACGAGTACAATCTAGAGAACATTCCACGGAATCTAGAAAATTCTGTTGAATTTGACACCATAAGGGTGGACGTGTAAGAAGATTCATATCTGAGGGGTGGTTCTAATTACCCAAACATGAGAGATTTTTCGGAATTTCACCTTACCTCGGAAGGGTGGCCGTAATTTACCCTAAAATAAATGTGTATTGATTTTTTTCCCCAAATGTTCGAGTTTCGCCTCACTAATTTTGGGAAATGACATATTTCTCCCTGATTGATCAACCTACAAGTAAATTCAGATATGCATATAATTGAGACATATACATGTACATATACTGTAATGGGTTTAATATTCTTTGATTCTTCTCTAGCTTGAAGCATACACGAAGAAGCAATTCATGATAATTCACCAAGTATTTTTCCATCTTTTTTGAATTAGTGGACTTGTTTTTTTTTTTCGAATCTGATCCTTCCAAGATAAAAAAAAAAAAAAAAAAAGTTCCTTTGGTCCTAATACTTTTACTTTGATTGGGATATTCTCTTGTCTGTGAAATATTTCTGTAACTACTCTCAATTTTTTATTTTTTTTATTTACGTGTTCATTTTCACTATCGTCTCGGCCCAAGAAGTCGATAGGAAAGCTTCGAGTACTAACGAATTTCCTTCGATTCATCTGTGTTCTTTGAGGCATAACTCATTTGAGATCATCAACTCCGAATTCCTTGCCACAAAAATTGAAATTTCTTCGTCCCAAATGCAATCTATTTGGTTTCTTACTGATCCCAATACTTCGGAAAAAAGAAAAGAAAATTTAGAAGTGCTGTTTTCACATTCAGAGTAAGATGACTTTTTAATTTGTTGTAAAGAATCCTGGAAAGTTAACTAAAATTGTTCTCTTCTTTTCAATGTTTTGGAATAGAACATATTCCTTATCAGAAGATGTATGAAGAACACGATTTTTACGCATGTATATAAGAATAAATCGATTTCTGGATCCTCCAAACCTCGTAAAATTGAAAATACAGTCGGCTTTCTTCTAAACACACATTTATTTAAGAACACGTTACTGTAAGAGACATTTCTTCATTATATTGTTTTCAGTTATTATATACAAAACATTCCATCTCAAGAAAATCGGTCTTCGTGGCGCGCTTTCTTCTCTCTCTCTATACAGTTGAATACATAAAATAAAAATTAAGATAACCAATATGTTCCTCCCTTATACATCTTCTTTCGCAATCTGTCACCAAAAAGTTTTAAGAAAAAGAAAAAAAAAACATTAGTATTCGTTCAGAACCAAGATTGAACCGAAGTTCCGTTTGACGGAAACTTCTACAAGCAAGAAAAGAACGGAAGATTAATGCAGAACCACTGACCTTTTATTTTACAGTTCAATTCTCTCCCTTGTCGCCAAAAGAGGTGCCTCAAATTCCATCAATTTTGTGAACTAAAAAAATGGACATAAACGAAGGAAATTTCTCGTTAAAGTGGTCGAAAATATTTTTTATTTTTTTATTTTTATTTTATTTTTTGTAGCACAAACCTGTGACGTTTTAAGCTCGAGTTCCTGCCATTCCAAGGATGAATTGCTTCCTTCTACAATCCCCGTTCCAGCATAGAGTAATGCGCCAACTCCCTTGTGATTCCCAGAATCAAGATATTCTTTTCATCATTAAATTATCTAAGATAGTTCGGAATTATCGAGAAAATAGACGACATTTCAGCTGAAAGAAAAATTAGCTCTACTTATACTTCACTTCTATTCAATGGCTTAGTTTTATATTTTATAGAAAATACTATGCCCTTGTTTGGTTCCCAATATAAGATTAGCCAAGATAAGATTATGAAATCTTATGAAAACCGAATTGTATAATTAAACTAGAGAGATCCACCCAACACACAATCCCCGTTTTCTCATAATTGCGGACCAGCCCAAAAATTGTACGAACCAAACATCAAATAATACATAATTATTTAATTAATCACGGCTTATCTTACCAAATAAACGAGTAGTTAAACATTCTAGTTTCCTCACCTTTCCAACAAGTGCTGACCTTATTCCGACTGCAAACTCACTCTCTGCACCTCCAAACCACCCAACGGGGCCAGCATACATTCCTCGGTCAAACTTCTCTGAATATACATTGTTTATTAGGAGATGATGGTAAACGAACATCGGATGAAAGTGCAAATAAGAAGGAAAACAGCATACCCGTTTCTGATATTAAAATGCGTGCCTCTTCTGTAGGAAGCCCACAAACAGCAGGAGTTGGATGAAGGGAAGACAAAATCTTAAACTGCATCCGATCAGCAGTTGAAAAAGTCATTATACGAACATATTTGATGTATGGTGTGTAATAAACAAGAAGTCGTGTACGAACCAAAGTAGTTTGAGAGGTATCTCTTTTGCTTTTTTTTCTTCATGTATAATTATTATGGTAAAATTTCACTAGTTTTGATGGTAAAGTAACAGCATAGTAGAAAAATCGGATCTAAAGTAAAGCAGTAAAGGACATACTTCATCGTCTTCTTTCCGCAAAGTGCCTGTCAGTTTAGCATAAAGATGTTGAACACGAGGAAGCTTCCTTAGAACTTTGCTTGGTTCCACTACTGTGCTGGAACATACGGTCTAAATTGAAAATTTTGAGAAAAGAAAAAAATTATGTTACTCCATAAACGAAATGCTTGACATTGTTGCTATAATATATGTACAATACCATTACGAAGAGAAATAATATTGAGATCTACTAAGCTTTACTTGCCTCAAATTTTCGTCTTATACTTTCTCTTACTACGGCAAATTCATGGTGGTCTTTAGCACTGCAAATGAAGTATTTATGGTCGAGAATAAGTTCAAGAAACTCAAAGCACCGAAGCAACAAATTAAAATTTGAATTCATTCTAGACTCGAACTGAGATTAACCTGGAAAGTAAATCATTTCCTATCTGTAAATCCAAAGACTCGGTTCCACCTCTAGCTCGTGTTCCAGCCAAAGCCTCACTGTAAACGTTAAGTCGGTTTCGGTAGAATAGTCGCTCTGGCTATTCACGAGTTGAACAAATTTATAAAAAAAAATCATTTAATCAGATGATGGTATATACAAAACCTATATATCCAATGCCGTAAAGAAAACAAATAAAGTAAACCCGACGTAAAGATTGAAAGCGAAAGGGGTTTCACTTTCTCTCGATAAATAACGAGGTAAATTACTTACAGTATTCCCAATGAATGCAGGGGATTCGGGTGGCTGAAGACAAAACTGGTAAGCGTTATCCCCTTCAACCTACAAGAATCAATGGCTAAGTAATAAGTATCGTAATTCATTTATATAATATTTATATATTTAATCGATGAAAAGTACATCCGAAGAACAAACCAACCTGTAAACTTGTCAACCATTCTAAAGGGTCAATCTCTACTATGGTCAGTACTCTGCTGCTACGTGCAAGAACAACCTGCATTTTCATGACCAAATTCATGCACTCGAAGTCAGTTGTAAATAGAAACAATTGACAAAGAGAAAAATAATAATAATAACAATTTAAAAAAAAAACAAATAATGCGATCGACCACTTAAACCTTAACAAGCGTTGAGTTTTTGCTACTTATCAAGTCCAGAGCTCGCTTAACAGATTCATCCCATGATAGTTTGTTGGGAAAATGAGTTTGGTGGAAAACTTTAGCACGAGAAATATTACCGTTTAATCTCCGAACAACTGACGAAACCTGCAAACACAAAATTACAGATTGAGTCGTGCGAGTGAGATCAAATATAACGGACAAGTATAAAGTCAAACCTGCAACATTGTAGCCTCAAGTGAAGCAATTGCCTGTTCGTAGGTCCGTGACAAGCGTTTGTCCCATGCAATAGTTGCAGCAAGCATTGAATTTCCTTTAAATTCGTCAAATTCAACCTGCAATTAGTGTCTTGACACGTGTCACTTGCGCGCACGCACACACACGCACACACACACACACAAAAAAAAAAAAAAAAAAAAAAAAGCGAAAAAAACTAAAATATTTACCTGGGGGACCATGAAATAAAAAGAACCAAAGCCTTTCCATTCAGGGGCTATATCGGATCTCGCATCAAAGCGCATTGCACCATACGCACGAATCAGTGGACACTTTTTGGATAAGAACCTTTAATCAAATACAGCAAAATTAGAATTAGACAAGTTAACATTTCTGACATTGCAGTATAATTGCAAGCAATTCCTTTTTAGCCATGCTCTGCTCCTTTCCAATAAGCTGACTGCTATATTCAACTCTTGAACCAGGTGAATGATATAAAACTTGATTTTCTTGATTTAAGCAAACTCTCATTATGAATGTCTAAAACATGTGAATGCTCTCGATTAGTATACTCGTGTTAAAAGATACTCATTTCTTCTTAAGTTTTCCAACAACATTTGAGCATATAATGATTCACTTCAGCGAATATCTACAAGTTTAGGTGTAAATGTAGATGCTAATTAGGGGCGAAAGTCGGATTGGATCGCATCTGAATTTTCGGAATTTAAAAATTCATTCCATTCCAAAATTCCAATTTTCGGATTGGATTGGATCAGAATTTCGGAATTCTTTTGGAAATCATATAAGTTTTAAAATTTCAAACTTAGCGGAAATTTTCAGAAAAAATCGTAATTATCCAGAAATAAGAATATCCACGTCGATATAAGTAAAACTAGTAACACACTAAATTTCAGTAAAAAATAAATCAATAAAAAGAAACCACATCATAATATCCAATAAAACTTCTAAATACAATTCAATATGTCAAAATCCTAAAACAAAACCTCACTCAAATTACTGTTTCAGAAAACATAAAAAAACTTAAAATAAGTATTATATCATATATATATTATTTATAGGTGTATATTTAGAAGAAAAAAAAAATCGGATTTTTTCGTAATTAATTTTGCAAAATTAAATCGGATCGGAAATTCCAAAAGAAATTACTAATTCCAATTCCAATCCAAAAAAAATCGGAAATCGGAATGAAAACAGTTGTTCCAAAATCGGAACTTTTTAGATCGGAACCGGCGGAAATTAGAATTTCCCTTCCAACTTGCACCCTTAATGCTAATAACTCAAACCCTATAGAGGTAAATCGCAATGATCAGCCAAATACTATCAAAAAATCCCAGAAAAAATAAGGCAGTCTTCATACAAGCTATAGAAATTTCAGACACACAATAGCGGCTACAACAGTAGAATTTATATCAATAATTTCTGGAGCACAACTTCTAAATTAAGCACATAAAAGAAGAAATTGATGGGGGAATGAATACTGTAATTACCTTTTGATGGAATGCCAATCGTCCGAAGAGAATGGATGGAGATGGCGGAAGGAGACCGCCGATCCAAGCCCGGCAACACTGAGAAGCTTTTGCTGAGAATCGTGGCCGTTGGAAGAAGCGCGCCAATCGCCATTGCGATTTTGAATAAGCGCGGTGTCGCCGGAATCCCTGCCGGAGAAGTAACAGCGGGGAAGAAGAGTGTCGCTCTGCGAACGCAGCCAATCTAGGGCTTCTACCTTCTCCTGTATTGGTACCTTCACCAACCCATAGCCAATCCTCCCATTAGATTATTTCAAATTTAATTATTTATTAATTATTAAACAATCATTTACAAAGTATTAATTATTTATTAAGTAAATTATTTATTAATATATTTATTTATTTAACAAAAGTAATGTCTTTTTTCACATTCACCAATTACCAATTGTTCATCAATTATTACTAAACAATTATTAACAAATTTATAATTAATTATAATACTTATGAAATCTACATTCATCAATATATAAAAAATTGATTTGACACTGGACACATCCTAAAAAATATCACTAAAAATATTAAATTAATTTCATTGGGTTTTAAAAAATTCATTCGAAGTGCATTATGCAAGATTTATTGTGTTTTAATGATAAAATGTGCTATAAATATTTTTTAATGGTATGAAATGCCAAAAAACTATTTTTCAAGGGTGCAACGTGGATTAAGTCGCAAATTTTCCCTCTGAGTAACACATAATTATAACTATCCTGCTAGATTGATTAAATTAAACAATTTTTTTTCTTGAATATATGTGTATATGTGTGTGTGTAAAATACGTATAGATCTATATACGTGTATAGCAAAATATAACGTCGTGAAATTTTTCGAATACATTACATTGAGTCTTTCACACACCAAAAAAAATAAAAAAATTCAAAGAGTTTATCACTTATAAAACACAACACATGCACACAAGCAATCAAGATTTCCATCAGCCAAGAAAAGACAATACTGAATATATAATCAACTGAAGTCAATTAATTGCAAGTGTGATAACCCATAATCTAGGATAAGGAACAAGATTGGACAATCAAGGTACAACCCTCTCTCAACCAACCACGTGGCATATATATTCACAATAACATGAACTATGAATCATGCTCATAATAACATTTACCAATTTATCCAATCCCATGAAGAAACTTAAAAAAAAAAAAAAAAAAAAAAGATTGTTAATTGTGCAATTAGTTGAAGTCAAGAAACACTTGCCTCAATGCGAATAATCCCGGAATCCTCCGCCGGAGAATCGGACTTGAGGTGGAAGATGGCGGAGTTGAGGCGGTCGGCCGCCAGTAATGGAGTTGGAGCGGTGGGGAGAGTTCGAGTTTCGATGATTCCGAGAGGAGATCTAGGATAATTACCACCACCTCCACACCCATTCATAGAAGACAAGTTGAGTTCTTGATATTTCTATCATCACCAAATAAATAAAATTAATTATATGAATGTATTATGTAATATGTATTGTTTTAGTTATTTGTAGTAAATAAGCAATAGAAGACAAATAAAAGTCACATTCTTACATGATTGGGGAAATTGACTGAATATTGCCTAGCAATTGCAGTTGGTGGTGAGAAAGAGGATTTCATTTGCTCAATTTCCATGAAACGCCTATTGCAATAATAATAATAATAATAATAATACAAATTCCTTGTAGCCATTTAATATATTTATTAGTGTGTGTTTGTAAATTTTGGTTATGTTTTGTCTATTTATATAGACAAAGTATACACCATGAATTCAAATATGTGACTACAATTTGGTTTTATTTTATTAAATTAGAGTATAGGTCTGTTACTTGTAGGTGTCTATGTTATTTGAATTTCAATATCTTATTCAAATTCCAAAGTCAAATGACTTTTCTTTTCAATATTTAAATGAAGGTTTTTTTGCACCCAATTGATTTGTGTATGTATGTACCCTCCTCAAATTGGGGTTCATTTAAACTGGAGATGTGACGTTTTTGTAATTTCAGAGTTTAGATGAAACGGTGTTAGGATCAAATATCTGACAACTAGCAACAAGGGCAATATTAAGACATTTTTTCAAGTGCATGGGGCAAATCGATGCAATCAAAAGTAGAAGGGGGTAAAATGATACCGAACAAAAGTACAAGAGGGGAAAGTGGAATTTTACCCTATTTATAATGTCAAAATCAATAATGTTTTTTAGTTCGATGAAATTCGCCCAAAGTTGGCGCCAACATTCAGATGACGTTTGAAAAAGTAAATAAACCATTGTAGACACTACTGTAATAATAATGAAAGTCAAATTGCAATATTAATAAATTGGTATAATTCCCTTTAAAATAAATTACTATAATTAATTCAATTTGATAATGATTTTGCCAACTGCCTCTTTTCAAGAGCAAAGGAAGAAACATGCATATACCACTGTCACAATATGGACTCTTGCTTTATCCATATGATGAAGTGTTCTTGCAGTAAACCGATTCTTCTCGACAATACGAGTCGAATATGGAATATAACATCAATATATACGGTGTCAAGTTATACCTCTTCAATCCCATTTTCCTCCACCTCGTCTCCATGGAGTAACCACTGCCGTGCAATCAGTGGTTTGAACCGTTGTAATTCGACGTCACCAAACAGGTGATTAGGTTTCAAGAATTATAATCAAGTTCAAAGTAATTATGCAGTGGAAAATAAAATAAAAATACGAGTACCTTGACATCTAGCTTCATATACATGGATTAGCCATCTTTTTGTATGTGGTTCTGATTTCTTAGTCGAACCATGACAGATTCCTTGCAGCAGCACAGCTCTGAAATATATTCATATAAATAAATATTGCGAACATTTATCGATTCGTCACCGATTGTCATATCATGTAAAGAATTTAGGAAACGACATTTTTTTTTCGAGATTTGCTATCGAAACATGCTTCTATTTTTCGGAAATTACAAAAATGGCCCAACAAGTTGCCCTCATTGACAGCTAAGCAGTTGCATCTGAACGAGTATCAATACCCAAAAAAAAAAACGAAATTCTAGAAAAAAACTCACCATTGGGTCCTTGTATGTGGCTTCTAGCAAACACAAGCCATACCCTGATATTTGGCAAAAAAAAGAAAAATTCTAAGGAAAGTTGAATTAAGCAGAAAACAATAGACATAACCACATTACCCAACTATGCGTTTTAGATGCTAACTGGGAAAACGAAATATTAAAACACCAAGATTACTTGAAATTTAATGCAACTATCTTAGTTCAGGAAAGCTATGCACCCGATTGTGAACGTAAATCATTTATGCAACTAATACACATAGCTTTCCGAAATTCTAAATAAAACGAGGAATCATAATAAAATACAAGGATTGAGTCCTTCAGCTGGGATATGCTCAAGCTTCTTTATCGGGCAAATGGTTATCCAAAACTTCTCAAATCTATCTAAGAAAAGAACCAGTAACAGAAATATACAGAAGAAATCAAAAGTTACTGTCAGTGAGAAGCCCCTGATGAAGAAATCGAAAGAACAATGGATTACAGTGTGATCGCCTTTTACTAAAATGAAAAAGCGACAGTTCTCAACAAGAAGAAATCAGCTTATAAGAATAGACAAATGACTAAGCCAGTACACCAAACTGTGAAGCCATCGAGTCAAATGTGTAAGATAGGACAATTAAATGAGCACAAATAATATTATTAAAAATCTCGATTTTCATCACAAAAATTGAGGAAAATGTGATATAATGGCACATGAAGAAACACATCAATACACCTCCGTATCAAGGAAATAAATCTCATCAGTTGCCTTCATAGCAGGCTCTCATAAATAAGAAGGGAGGTTGCTAACTTTTGTCCAACAATTGTAGAAAATCCGAAAAGCCTAACCCTCAAATTATTCAAAATCCAAACTAATGTCACATTAGCTTCATTAAACTTCGTGACAGAATCTTTCCGCACCCTATTGCTTCGTGTGGTGGCACGCATGTTTTAATTAACAGGACCGAGTGATAAGTTGCACAAAACTGAGAAAAATCCTCTACATGCAGATTCGTAAACGAGCATCTCAAGTAATTCATAAAAGTAAGCAAATCATATAGACGAACTTAAATCTTAATAACAAAATGTAAGAACTCTGTATGTTGAAATGGGTGGTAAAAGAAGTGAATGGATTTTGCAAAGCGCTGAACAGTGTACAACTATTTATTCCACAAGTTTATGCACATATATATCTATATATACAAATGCTCATGTACATTCACCAAGCCACCTATGAACTATGGTTGACCTTTTATTCACACAACACACATAGTACACATGCAAAGTGGGACTAACTCCACGTATTTGCAACATAATTCACGTTGAGATCGAGAGACCTACACTATTATGCCTTGTACATGATATTTATTCCCAAAACAAAGGTGCTCGTACGTGTTATTTTTCCTTGTATTATTGAATGGCGAAGAGAGATTGTTGCCTAGTCAGCCTGTGGCGATCACGGAGAGAGATTTATCAAACAACCTGAAGATCCTAAGCACAAATCTGCAGAAGCCCTGATACGTCAGACCAATACCTGAAGACTTTGACCTTTAGATTGCATAAAAAATCCAAAAAGAAAAGGATATATTAGCAAGACATGATTCTCCTTAGTTAAGACTTAACATGGACGATTTCTTTGTACTTCTTCAGACAAATGAAAAGGATAGGACTTGCAGAACTAATTGTCTGTTGACCTAAGCCAGTGGAAAGTAGCCAAATTGCAGAATCAAAGGGAGAAAAAACAGGAAAGCTTGCTAAGTGTAATTACATTGTTTTGTGTTATTTTCTACATCTTATATCATTGACGAAGAATATATACAAATCGTTCCATCTCAAGAAATCATCTGCTTGGCAACTTTCTTGATTCTTGTCTCTATATGCTTATATACAAATCAGTTATTTACAGGAAATAAATAGAGGCTGATTTTCATCATAAGCGAGTAAATATATTTGGGCCACTTAAATAATGACCATCGAAGGAAAACCAATACGGTCCTCCATCATATGCATATCTTTCCTTTGGACATCTATCACCGAAAAATGTTTATCAAAGTGTTCACAAACCAAGAGCTAACAGAAGTTCAGTTGAATGAAACTTCTAGAAGCACGTAATGAACGGAGTAGTAGTTCAGAACCACTGACCTTTTTAAGTTACAGTTCAATTTTCTCCATCATCGCCGAAAGAGGTGCCTCGTTTTTCATCAGTTTTTTGAACTACGGAACAGGAAATAAACAAAGAAATTTCTAGTTAAAGTGGTTGCAAATGTTTTTATGTATAAAAACCATGGCATTATTACTGCACATGCATGTAGACTGCATTCGAAGCACAAACCTGTGAAGTCTTCAGTTCCAGTTCCTGCCATTCGAGGTCTGAATTGCTTCCTTCTACTATTCCAGTTCCAGCATACAACAATGCACCAACACCCTTGTGATTCAAATCAAGATATTTTATTACTAAGTTATATAAGATAGTAACTGTTAATATGACAGATATGTCAACTGAAAGAAAAAAATAATTTACATTCTACTTTACTTGAACACTGTGTTATATTAGTTTTATAGATTATAGAAGTGGGACCTAGTCGAGAACTCAGAAAATACTATCTGGTACATAGTTCAACAGATTTTTAGCATCCTCACCTTCCCAACGAGTGCGGACCTTATTCCCACAGCAAACTCACTCTCTGCACCTCCAAACCACCCAACAGGGCCAGCATACATTCCACGGTCAAACTTCTCTGAATAATAAAGCAGAATAATATTAAACATACCTTCATGATTATTTAGCAAGGAAGTAAGATGGCTGAAAATTACTGAAACGTGTATAAATGTGCATACCAATTTCTGATATTAAAATCCTAGCCTCTTCCGTAGGAAGCCCACAAACAGCAGGAGTTGGATGAAGGGAAGACAAAATCTTAAACTGGAAAAGGAAATATTATGTCCAAGCAGCAATTAAAAAATAACTTTATGAACATATTGATGTTTGGTATAGAAGAACGAGGTGTAGAATCCAAAGTAGTTTGAGGGTCACATAGTTACTTCCCCAAATCTGTATAATTATTTGAAGTAATAAGAGGAGCAAGTGATATAAATTTGTGATGCTTTATCTTAGTGCGAAATAAATTCCTTCACTTCCGCTTTTTTTTTTCATCTATTAATCATCAAAGCCCTTACCATTTTGTAGTTTATCTTTTGCTTTTATTTATTATTATTATTGTAAAAATTCACTAGTTTGATGGTAAAGTAACAGCTGATCAGGAAATATGGAACTCCAATAAAAGAAATACCTCATCATCTTCTTTCTCCAATGTGCCTGTAAGTTTAGCATAAAGATGTTGAACACGAGGAAGTTTCCTTAGAACTTTGCTTGGTTCCACTACTGTGCTGGAACATACAGTCTAAATTGCAAAATAGAGGAGAAAAGAATACAATGATGTTACTCAAAAAAGGAAAATCCAAGAGAAAGATTGAAATTGCTTCACGGTGTTGCTGTACTATATGTAAGATGTCATTACGAAGAGATACAATATTGAAATCTGCTAAAGGTAAAAGCTTCACTAACCTCAAACTTTCCTCTTATATTTTCTCTTACTACAGCAAATTCATGATGGTCTTTAGCACTGCAAATGAAGTAAATATGGTTGACAATAAGTTCAAGACACTCAAAGCACCAAAATAACAAACGTACATTTGATTCATTCTAGACTAAAAAAATGGAGATTAACCTGGAAAGTAAATCATTTCCGATCTGTAAATCTAGAGACTCGGTTCTTCCTCTAGCTCGTGTTGCAGCCAAAGCCTCACTGTAAACGTTAAGTCGGTTTCGGTAGAATAATCGCTCTGGCTGTTCACGAATTGAATAATAAGCAAATCATTCACTCATAAACTGTTATGTAAAGTCATAAACTCCAGCAAAAAGGGATGAAATAGGACTTGAATATTAAGTTACAAAGTGATTAGAATTTTAAATATTTAAAAGCTGAGAAGAACCTCTTAACATTAAAATACAAACTCTAGCATATTATGTGTTTCTACTATTGATACATGAAGTTGATGATTGAGCCACTATCACCACCTGAATTAACTCCTAAATCCAACCGTGAAGACTGACGTGTGCAACTTAAGAGCAAATGAGTATAATACTATATTTCAGTTAAATCGCATATTTCGTATAGAGCTTACTATTGATATTGTCAGAGATACGTAAGGATTGAAAGAGAAAAGGGGTTTCACTTGCTCGCAATAAATAATGAGGTAAATAACTTACAGTATTCCCAATGAATGCAGGCGATTCTGGAGGCTGAAGACAAAACTGGTAAGCATTATCTCCTTCAACCTACAAGGATCAACAGCTAAGCTTTATGATTCACTATAATCTTCACATATCGGTCGATGAAAAGTCCATCTGAAGTAAAAACCAACCTGTAAACTTGCCAACCATTGTAAAGGGTCAATCTCTACCATGGTCAGTAGTCTGCTGCTACGTGCAAGAACAACCTGTATTTTTAATGACCAAATGCATTCACTCAGAGATGTGTTGTTTATAAAAATGATTGCAACATATATAACAAAAAAGGAAAAAGAAAAAGAAAACAAAAGACTTCTAGGAAAAAAAAAAACAAGAAAAAATTGATTCACGTCCCATTTTTATCATCTAACCCTGATTTCTAATCGCTACCATAACTGCACAAAATACTGTTCAATTAGGAATTTATTTATGGGGCTGCCGTAAGCTAGTAGTGTTATTAAGTTTCAACCTTAACAAGCGTCGAATTTTTGCTACTTATCAAGTCAAGAGCTCGGTTAACGGCAGCATCCCATGATACTTTGTTAGGAACGTGAGTCTGGTGGAGTACCGCAGCACGAGTAGTATTACCATTTAATCTCCGAACAACTGATGAAACCTGCAAACACAAATTTACAGATTGAGCCGCAATAGTAAGATCAAATGTAAAGGACGGGAATAAAAGTCAGACCTGCCACATTGTAGCCTCAAGTGAAGCAATAGCCTGTTCGTAGGTCCGCGACAAGCGTTTGTCCCACGCAATAGTTGCAGCAAGCATTGAACTTCCTTTAAACTCGTCAAATTCAACCTGCAATTAGTGTCTTGACATATTGTCATTTGTTCAAAAGCAAAAACTGCAACTAATAAAATATATATATATATATATATATATATATATATATATATATATATATATATATATATATATTTATTTACCTGAGGGACCATGAAATAAAAAGAACCAAAGCCCTTCCACTCAGGGGCTATATCAGATCTCGGATCAAAGCGCATTGCACCATACGCACGAATCAGTGGGCACGTATTTGATAAGAACCTTCAATTACATGCACGCACAATTAAATTTAAGAAGTTACTCTGTAATATTGCAATGTAATGCTGGCAATTGTTTCATCTTTAGCTCCATTTCATCCAATTGATTGCTGTATTCAACTTCCAAACAAGGTCAACTGTTTAGTACTTCCAAACTCAATTTCCTCGTTTAACCAAACTCTAATTATGAGTGTTGTGAACATGTTAATATGTTAATATTGAGACACAATAACAGCTAAAACAGTAAAATTTCTAATAAATCCCAATTCCTATAGCACAACTTCTGACTAAATTAAAAAAAAAAATCATCAGATTAAAACCTGCAAAACGATTAATTAAGAATCTGAAAAATACAACACATAAAAGAAGAAATTGATGGGGGGAATGAATACTGTAATTACCTTTTGATGGAATGCCAATCGTCCAGAGAGAATGGATGGAGATGGCGGAAGGAGACGGCGGATCCCAGCCCGGCAACACTGAGAAGCTTTTGCTGAGAATCGTGGCCGTTCGAAGAAGCGTGATCATCGCCATTGCGATTTTGAATAAGCGCGGTGTCGCCGGAATCCCTGCCGGAGAAATAACAGCGAGGAAGAAGAGTGTCGCTCTGTGAATGCAGCCAATCTAGGGCTTCTACCTTCTCCTGTATTGGTACCTTCACAAACCCATAGCCGATCCTCCCATTAGATTATTTCAAATTTTCTTCAGTTTATTCAAACAAATAATTGATGATAAATTATTTACATGACCGAAGTTCGGTTCGACCCGGCCCGGCCTGAGCCCATGGTCAATATATCGGTTAGCTGGAGCCGGTACCGGGTTACCGCGAACCGAAACCCGCCCCTTGGTTTTGAATTTTTTTATTTTATTTTCTTCTTTTAGAAAATTATAATTTTGACTGATTGTCGGGTCAAACCGAACAATCTAAACCGACGGGTCGAACCGTATAAAGCTTCAGTTCCCGCCCATTTTATCAAACTTTTTCACGAAAAAAAAAATAATAAAAATTGTTATAAAAAAAAATAAAAAATAATAACCGCTAACCGGTTTCTTAAATTTATGATCGACCATCCATTTTTAATTAAGAGGGTGTTTGGCTAAGCTTATAAGATGTTAAAAGAAGCTTATAAGATGTTTTAGAGCTTATAAGTTCTTCCAAAGTGTTTGGTAATTTTTAGAAAAATATCTTAATTTTTTTTAAAATATACTGTTGGAGAGCAAATAAGATCTTTTTAAATAAGTACCTCTACCCCACCTTTTTATTTAAGATCTTATAATGAGTAAAAATAAGAAATAAGTTCATTATCCAAACACTCTAAAAATTAATCATAAAAATAAGATATAACAGCTTATCAGCTCTTAAAACATCTTATCAGATATAAGAATTTATCAGCTGTTTAAAATAAGTTTAGCCAAATACCCTCTAAATCGATGAAAAAAGTAACATTTGAATCATTATTCATTAACTTTGACTTAAATAATTGTCACACTTGAAGCCGGTGATCTCGACAGTCAACACTTAACACTATACTCTCGGTGAAATTCACCGACTGGATTTCTTACTGCAGTGTGTCCTCAAAAAAATAATTTCAGTTTTATTATTATTATTATTATTATTATTATTATTATTATTATTATTATTATTTGTAATTAATTTCATTTTATTCAAACTTAGATTGTTTATACTAAACTGAGTCTTCGGTAGTGTACTTGGTTTCAGCTGTCAGATGCATATAGTGCGGTCACGTTATCTAAATTAATGCTCCTTTGAGTTAAAAATTGAATTAAACTTTATTTTTAAATCAATATAATATTATTGAACGAACACCTTAATTAATGCTATGCTGTTGAACTGTTAATTACAATTTAATAATAATTAGTAGTTGATACCTGACCCTGATGATCATCAGAATAAAAAATATTCATCAAATCAAAATACAGTCCTCAACTATTTTCTCATGATCTGTAGTCAGATTTTAATTTTAATTTTGAAAAAAAAAAACTTTTAAAATAGATTAAATTATCTAATACATATAATACACACACGCGCGCATGCACGCGCATGAACATGCATATATATGTGATTGTTTGTAAATTAAAGTGCCCATTTACCAGGTGTAGCATCTATGAGACAGAAAAACACCGAAACAAAATCCCGTCAAAAATCGATCAAAATATATACTTAGGAATAAATAATTATAACACATTAATAATTATAAATAAATAAATAATACTAATTCTTCAGTTTTCTTGGCACATTTTTACTTGGCCCCCCTCCAACTCATGATGAACACACTTTATATATAACCAATCCCATAATCTTAATGTAACAATTAAAATCAGTGTAGGATAAAGAACAAGATTGGATAATCAACAATCCTCTCTCAACCAACCACGTGGCACATATATATATATACACTCTCAAAAACATGTACATATATATACTTTTTTGTTTTTTAGGGTCACATATATATACTTATATAAAGAGAATAGAAAGTTGGAATATAATCTTGGACAAGTTCAAGTCAAGAAACACTCACCTCAATACGAATAATCCCGGAATCCTCCGCCGGAGAATCGGACGACTTGAGGCGGTAGATGGCGGAGTTGAGGCTGTCGGCCGCAAGTAACGGCGTCGGAGCGGCGGGGAGAGTTCGAGTTTCGATTACACCAAGTGGGGTTCTAATTGGATAATCACCACCTCCACACCCATTCATTGAAGACAAGTTGAGTTCTTGAAATTTCTACAATATTAATTATATCAATGTATAATTAATTTCTAATATATATGTACTTTTTTTTATTTTTTTTATTTTTGTAGTAAATAAGCACTAGAAGACAAAAAAAAAAATGTGACATGAATTAATTCTTACATGATTATTATTGGGGAATTGGACTGAATATTGTCTAGCAACTGCATTTGGTGATGAGAGAGAAAATTTCATGGGCTCATTGTTCATGAAATGAGTAATGCAATAATATTGATGCCTTGTAATAACACCTGCAGCCATGTATGTATCTATTATAGTGTGTGTGTGTGTGTAAATATTAGAAATTGGGTGTGTGCAATAAAACATATGAAGAAGTTTGTGTTGTATTTATATAGATAAAAGTAGTGCTACACCTTGAATTGAATATGACATTTATTAATTATTATGACTGCAATTTGAGTTTGTTTATTATAATTATTATAAAATTGAGATCGCCAGCAATAGATGTGTGTATATTTTTAATGTTTAATAATTAACAATTAGTAATTACTAATTAATTAATGCATCCATTATTCAAGTCAATAGATTTTGCAGACCAACTTGATTTTTTTTTTTATTTTTTTTTTTAGTATTTTTAATATTTTTTTAAGTATACTCCATCATAAATGAGTTTATTATTATTGGAATAATGGAACATCGTGGATCACAAAATATGGAGAATCTTTGAGATGTGATTATTTTTCAAGAGAGCATCGTGTTACACGATGTTCTAGAATATGAAAATTTATTTACGAAAATATTGCGTGTTTCGTTTTTTTATTTTAAACCGATCCGACTTCTAAATTTGAAGTGTTTTTTTTTTTTCTCGAAATTCTTAAAACAACAATGATATTGAATATATTTTTGTTGTTGGATTGTGAGAAAGCAACACAAGGAGTCATAAATATTCACAAAATAAATAGTAATTGAATCATTCTTTATTAAAAGTTGTAATAGTTATGAATATACTAAATCCAATCATATTAAACAAGCCCCTCGAGCTTGGTACACGGCACTAAAAAATGCATTACTTGAGGTTGGTTCTCAAAATTCGAGAACTATTCTTCCTTATTAATTTATTTATTTTTTTTAAAAAAAAATACTATAAATTTTATTTCTTGGTATATGTTAATAATCTTGCGATCTGGTCGAAAAAAAATGGCTTCAACTATTAAGTAACCGTAGTAACTACAAAATCGAGATATTTTTTTTTTTCTCTCTCTTAGAACACAAGTTATACACATTAGAGTTATTGCAACACCATGAGTAACGCCAAATTTATCTCCAGTACTTTTTAATTCCAAAGGAAAATGTAAACAATGGAAAATAAAATTAAATCATTGTGAATCAACAGTCAACAAATTGTTTCAATTCATGCATAAGCCTTTAAATAAGTTTGTTATAAATAAAAATTTACATTTAAAAATAGGATACAGTACAAAAAGGAAAAAATAAATGAAAATGAAATTTTTTAAGATTATTATTACATAAAGATATTTTTTTGAAGTTTGCATCCCTAGTTAATATTCAATTTAATTGCACAAAACTCGGAGTCCAAGTAACACCAATCTCCATGTATTCAAAGTTTACAGGTTGGATTGACAATGTATTACAATTTTTTTTTTTTTTTTTTATTTCTTGCTTGAAAGTATTTAGGAAATCAATTTTCATTTTACTTTAAAAGACGAGGAATATTGAGAAAATAATTTGGAAGAAAAAAAACACAAAAACCCACACTTTCGTATCTTCATGATTTTAAGTAAAAAAATGAGTTTAAACTTCTTCAGCCCTGGATCGAATTAGCCGGCCTGAATCATTGCCTTGTCCGATTGAGTTTGACTGATTGAGCAGTAATACCGTAATCTCAGTGAAAATAGGTTTTTCTTTTTGCCCAAAATGGTGTTATGGCCAAAATAACGTATTTTTGCTGTTTAGTTGAAAAGAAAAAAAAATCATAAGATTTTTTTTTAAGATGTGTTATAATTTATTATAATTTTTATAATATTTGAAATGATTCAGCGTGATATGTCTGTTGATATGTTACATATGTAAAACAAAAATAATTTTGATTTACATCTTAGTTGGACATGTGTAACGAATTAATTTGTGAAAGAAAATATGTTTTATTTACAATAAAAATTATTATGTATAAATAATTATAAAACAAAATATAAAAAATAAAAAACCCGACTGGATCCTAGTTGAACAAGTCAATAATCCAGTATGTTATCCAGGTCAATATCGGATTCGGTTTTCGAAACATTGCATTATAATCATCCCATTATTTTACAAAAGTAATTTCGTTTAATAAAATAATTATTATATTGCGTAGTAGTTCCTACAAATATTAGTACCCAAGTCAACTCATAAATTATATAAACTATCATCAACTTTCAAATATATATATATATATATATATATATGGGGTTATTTTAATTTTTACATACCCCTAGCCACCAAATAAACTAGGGATAAACCCTAGCCCAAATCATACCCCTGGAGAAGCGAAAGTACTATACTACCCTTATATGCAATTTTCGGCCAAACTGCACTCAACATTTATGGTCCTACATTTATCATTTTCGCTAATTTATTTATTATTATTATTATTAATTTTTTTTTATAAACCTGTTTGTTATATATATATATATATATATATATATATATATATATTTTATTTTTTTTAGTTTTAAAAAAAAAAAAATTCATAGTTATGTTCGTTTTTTTCCCCCATATTTTTAGTCGATCAATTGTATACACACACGAATACTGGCTTATACAAAATAAATTGATAAAACCCCAACAAAAATTTGCAAATTTCAGTTTTTTTATTATTAATCAATCAGAACCAATAAAATACAAATCGAAAATACACAAATATACGCATATGTAACTACATGTTACTATAGTAATGTATAGTGATGTACAGTAATGTATACAGTCTGTTGAACAAATCAGATGTAACTTCAAAAAAAAAATTGACACCTTCAAGGATAGGATCAATGGTCTTCATTAAGCTGCAATTGCAAAATCAAAAAAAAAATTACTTTAGAGCAAATCAACAAAATTTGAAGAAAAACATCAAAACACTCAAAAACCAACAAACACTAAGAGATCGAGAGATAGAGAGAGAGGTTATTGCTACAGATTTTAAATCAAACAGGCAGTGACTCCTCACCCCCCTCGCCTCCTACCAAAACCCTAGACACCGCTAATAACCACCCACGGTTCATCGCGCCCACAAATGCAAAAAAAATATAGAAATAAATCTGAAAACATAAAAATTAACGAAACTACCATCAAAATATAGATCCCGACGAGAGGAATCCAACGGCGGGTGGCCCGTCAAATTTCGACGGGTGGAACACAAAATAAAGCTCCGGCAAGACCACCGTATGAAAAAATTTGCAGAAACAGATCAGCGCTCGAAACTGAATGAAATCACCACCAAAAGAAAGAGCTCGGCGAGAGGAATCTAACGGTAGTTAAACCATCGAATTCCGACCACCAGAGAGAGAGTTATGGCTCCGAGAAGCAATTTCGCCGGTGGTAGGTTTGTGGAGGCGGGATTTTGAATCTGGGAGAAGAAGAGAGAGACGATTGTAGTGGTTAGGGTTTAAAACTAATTTTAAAATGGTATTATAGGGACTTCAGGGTGGCCCAGGGGGTAGATCAAAAAATTTTCGAAATGAGGGGGATTTCCCCTAGGATGCAATCCACTTGGTAGTTAGTTCTATATAATTTGGAAATGAAGGTCTACAAAATAATCCCTATATAGGGCCGGTTCTGAGGGGAGGCGAAGTAGGCGGTCGCCTAGGGCCCCCGATTTTTTTCGAAAATTTGGGGCCCCCAAATTATTTTATATACAATTTATATATTAGTAATTATTTTTAAAAAAATATATAGATAATATTTTGGAACATCGGTTCAAAAATAAATTTAAACTAAATGATCAATAGTTATTTTTGAAATTTTCTTAACCTGGGGCCCCTAAATATTAATTTATAATGTCTTAATTGCTTATTTTTATTCTAAAATAAGAATCAATATTTATTAGTGTATTCAAGTTTATAAATATTTTTGAATTTTATTATTATAAAAATTATACATCACGGGAGGAAGTGAACCAGCAAATATATTGTTAATTTTGAATTTTTGTCCATATTTTTAGTTACTTTATATTCATACATTTCAAAAAATATTTCGGGGGCACTGCCCCTGAACCCCCAGAATCTTTATTTTCTTCATTTTTAGAAAAAAAAATATAAAATAGTTTTTTTACTACATTCAATTTCGAACACCAATTAATTAAAAAAAATGGTTCATCAGATAAGGGCCCCTGTTTTCGGTTGTTCTTTAAACCTTGCCTAGGGCCCCCGAATTCCCAGGAACGGCCATATATATATATATATATATGTATAATTTGATTAATTCGATTACAAAAAGTATGCTTATTGAGTGAAGAAAATATTTCAAAACTAATTTTTTTTTTTAATTAAATCAATTTTGTTTCAATAATATTGGTTATCAACGTAGCTAGTCAAAATGAGACATTCCTACAAGTATTAAGAATGCGATAGAGCAAGATAAATTACAATTGTATTTTTTTTATATTACATTCCATGTACTACTCACTCATGCAGCATAATTTAGCATTAATAAATTGATTCTTAATTCCTAAAAAAGAAAAAGAAAAGAATATATATATATATATATATATATATATATATATATATATATATATATATATATATGTATTAAATATTCGATAACTGTAGTGAAAACGCCTAATTTTCTTAATCGATGTGCATTAGCCTTAAACAATACTTAAAAAAGAAACGGAAAGGATACGAAGCTGTCTAACTAAGCGAATCGGCAAGAATCGAACCAGTCTCGTTGACAAAACATACCGGTAGGCACACTATAGTGCATACCAAAATAAAAACTATTGCTAGAGCTTACGTAGACAGAGGGATAAAAATTGCCTTAATTAATCACATCAACTTGAGATTTTCTGTTATGAAAAGGAAAGAATCATGTCATATATTATTATTATTATTATTATTATTATTATTATTATTATTATTATTATTATTATTATTATTATTATTATTATTATTATTATTATTATTATTATTATTATTATTATTTTATGATTTATATTTATTATTATTAGCAACATAGCATTATAAGTAAGTAGGTAGGCCGAATTTGGTAGAGGCCATAGGACACTTAAAATAAACATTGCAATTCAACAATTAAAGAACTTACCAAATTGAACATAAATGTCATGAAGCATGGTAAGCATTTATGAATTATTGTCTTCTTCTCAAAATTATATAAAAAATCAATTGGAGACGATTTAATTGAAAAAAAACAAAAATTAGAACCTAAGAATCGAAAACATAATTACTCTTTTAAATTCGTTCATTTTCTGTAACTTTAACGATGTTATTTTATCCGAATACAACATTATTATTCATCTACAATGTTATTAAATTGTCGGATTCGGAATATAATGCCATGGAAGTGATCTTATAAACATTTGAAATCTGGAATAAAAATATTGGATTTTTCGTCATTCTTTTTTTGCGCGCGAATTAACCATCTGCGGACATCCATAATTGTGTCTGATTCACGCGTAGTTGATGTGTTTGTGCGCCTAACTCGGGCGGTGAAAAGCCAGCAACGGCATATGGTTCGACGCATCATGCTATTATCCGCGCTTGAACCAGACACATCTCGCATGCTTTTACATATATTTTTAAGATCAATTTTTATCTTTTAAATTTGTTTTTCATACTATGGATCAGAATATCTCAACACAATTCTAGTAGTCGATTGTACTAAATGTTTTTTTCTCTCTTTTTTTTTTTTTTTTGGAATAAAAACTTTAGTAGTGCAAATGAATTTGAACGGAAGGCGAAGCCTATTGCTCGAAAATACCGTCTTTTGCTCTGAATTTTATACCAAATTGCTCTAAATTTGTGCGCGGGTCATAAACCCGCAGGTTCTAGCAAAATCAGCCCTCGTCCCGTCAACCAACGGTTCTTGATTTTAAGAAACCAAACTTGTGGATTTTCGACGGGTTTAGGTTAGACGGGTCCATGGCGGGTTTATAGTAGGACCCAACCTTAGCTTCACGGGTCGAAACCCGTCATAATTTAAATATGTTATTTTTTTAATAATTTATAGTTTTAAGCAAAACTATTTAAAAATTGAAATGAATGACTATACGTAAAATCTTAAATTTAAACCTACGTGAATAACATCAATGATAAATACAAATTAACTAAAACCAAAGCTTTATAAGACAAAATTTTAAATAAAATAGATAACTATATATAAAACGAGACGATGTCGTCGTTATAGATATAAGTTTTGATATGTAAGAGATGTTTTATTCATGTATTATATATTATTAATTTATTATACTACATAATATAAAGAACTGAAATGATTTACGCGGCAGTAAAATTACGAATGTCGTTCACAATAGTCTTCTCTTTCTTTCTCTAGAAATCCCAAAATCCACCCAAACCCCAAAACCCCCCAAAAGCCCCAAAATTCACAAAAATCCTCAATCTCTCTCACAAATCCTTCCAAATCCGAAAATCTCGTCAATTTAAAAGGTAATTAATCATCTAAAGTAGTTATATATATTGAATTTGTGGTTAATCATGTGAAAATCCCCAAAAAATCGCGATTTGGGGTTGTATTTAGTGTTGGGTTTTCGAATTTTCCACGTCCAAAATGGGAGTGTGAAAGCAGTTTTCACGCCTAAACCAGGCGTGAAAATTGCTTTCACACGCTCATTTTGGGCGTGAAAAGTTAGTTCGGGCGTCCGGTCCAGACGCCGGTTCTGGACCGGTCGTCCAGTTCAAATTTTTTTTTGCCCTGTGTAAACAAAATCTGTTATTATATTTAAATAAGTATTAGCTAACAAACTCGCTTTAGCCTAATTGGTCAGGTGTCTCATCTATTAAACTGTACACCCGTGTTCGATTCTTGGCAACAGCGTGTCTTTCAATTTTTTTGCCCAGTTTATTGAATATAATTAAATAAAAACATTAGTTAAAAAAAATAGCTGTAGTCCAGTTGGTCAGGTATGTTGGTAAGTCCTAGTAAGGACCCGTGTTCGAATCCTTTATACTTATTAGCACTAATATGTATTTTTTTTAATTAACTAGCACTAATATGTATTTTTGCGCCCAAACTGGGCGCGGGAAGTACTTTTTCGCGCCCAAATCGGGCATGAATCGGGCTTTTTAGCACACAATTTGGTCGTGGGTCGCGTTTTCGTGATTTAAAGAACAAAAACGAACAAATTTTACCTCATTGGGTTCCGTATCTCGATCCTCATTCGATACACTCATTTTTCTTTGCAAATGGCTACAATAACATGAGTATTGGAATGATTTCTAATATAAAAGCTAAAATTGTAGAGAGAGAAAGAAAGATAGAGAGTGGATTTTTTAAACCCGCATTCGTAATTTTGCTACCGCGAATAGCACCTCCCTATAAAGAAACGACGTCGTTTTGTATGGCTGGACGGGACGGGTTTCACGGGTATTAAAAATATTTAAACCCGTCTTAGACCCAAACCCGCGGATCTTCTCTACTTAAGGACCCTATCCTATTGATGGATCCATCCGTCCAGTTCTAGCGGAACAGTTTTTACCGATTTAACGGGTTGATGGGTTCGACTTGCTTACCCCTAGTACAAACTACTCACTTATCCGTCTCTCCCTACCAGTTTCATGCCGCCGACCACCTGATTTATGCCAACAACATCACCGATAAATATTATTATCATGGTTTTAGTTCTCCTTTTCAGTCTAATTATTCCGGTCCAAATTCTCCAATCTGAAATGATTTGTGCAAGCACATATTAAACAGTCAGGCACATTTTTTACCATTCTTCAAAAAACAAAAAGTAAAAAACTCAAAAACTCTCTCTACCCTTTCGATTTTCTTTCGCAAAGCCCGTGCAAATCGTCAACAGATCGGAGGTAATTTTTATGTTTTTACGATCCTCTTGTTATGTAGATTACGAATCCGAAAAAAAAACGAAAAAAATCGGACTTTGGCCACGCTCGCGTGAATTTACACGAGCGCATCCACTGCGCTCGTGTAAATCCACGCGAGCATTTTTTATTATTGTTATTATTATTTTTTTAAATTTATTTGCTGCTCGCGTGGATTTACACGAGCGCATCCACTGCGCTCGTGTAAATCCACGCGAGCATTTTTATTTATTTATTTATTTTTATAAATTAATTTGTTGAATTATAAGATGCTCGTGCAAAAACATGCGAGCATTTCAACAATGCTCGTCTGATTTCACACGAGCACTGTTGAAATGCTCGCATGTTTTTGCGCGAGCACAACAATTTTTTTTTTTCATTTCATTATTTAAATGCTTTTTTTTTATTATATGAAATATTAATAAAGTGCTTATTTAAAATGTAGATGGCAGGAGGCCGGGGGAAAAGTCTTATGAGTTAAGTTGCCGGTAAAGGCAAGAGCTTAATGAAAGCCTTGAGCGGGAAGGGGGACAATCCGGAAGATCCGGATCGCATTGGAGACCGAGATGTCCTTGCTTCCGCCCGTAGAAGAAAGCAGTTAGCTCGAGAAGCAGCGTTACAGCGGGAAGAAGAGAGACTGAGACGAGAAGCTGTTGCAGCTGGAGCCGGACCCTGTGGACCTGCACGCGATCTCCAGCTAGCTCGTAGTACATTGCCACATGCCGACGACGATGATGACCACAACAACAATCCTGATAATATGGATACTGACGAGGAGATGGAGGAAGATGATGAGCCAGCAGATGTATATCAGGATCGTAGAGGTGGTCGTGCCTTACCCTTTCCGCAGCTGCCTGGTCCGGCGTACTTGGAGGGTCCGTGCGAGGGAGGACCACAAAATTACGAATTTATGCGATGGTTCAAATCGCATATAGCGATGTACATTTGGGAAGGATATGTAAGTTTTCTGTCAACACGTGCTTTACATAATTCTTATATTATTCATTTTTTTAGCTAACAATACATGCAATATTTTTCAGGAGCGCCGTGAAACTACACGGTACGAGTCGAGGACCAAAGCACTCGAGGACTACCGCGGCCCGCAGGATAACACGATGATTGCGAGGCTGGAGGCAACAGGTCTTTACCACTTACGAGACTGTTTTCTGAAAAGGATGAACAAGAACCTCATGCTAGCTTTCGTGGAGAGGTGGCAGCCGGAGACGAACAGTTTCCACATGTCATGGGGCGAGATGACGATCACACTCCACGATGTCGCTTTTATCCTGGCGTTGCGGCTGGACGGACCGGCAGTGTCTGAAATTCGTCCGGTAGAAGAGTGCTCACAGAGTCTTGCATCTGTATTGGGTGTCGGTCTGATGGACACCAATGAGATGTTTCGAAACAAGTGAGTTGGTTGGGTTAAGGTGAGAGATCAGTTGAGCCTTCCCTCCGCCACAGACGAGAAGAAGTTGAAGGGCTACTTGATGTTTCTGCTTGGGTCTGTTTTGTTTGTAGACAAAACAGCGTGTAACATGAAGCCGTGGTGGATCCATTTTACCAACGATCTCGATAATGTCGGCAAGTATTCATGGGCTTCGGCATGCTTAGCAAACATGTACCGCCAATTGGGTATTGCCACCCGCGCTGGGATGAACAGTCTCTATGGATGTGTTATTCTCCTTCTGGTACGTGTACCTTTATTAGTAATTATTTATTTATTTAAACTTCTATGTAGGTAATATCAACAACGTTTCATTGGTTTTTGTTTGCAGTGCTGGATCTTTGAGTATTTCCCCTGCTTTCGACCACCTATTTCCCGTTCATATACCGAGTTTGAGCCTCGATGCAGAAGGTGGGCCCATGGTGGAGGGAATAAAACCATGCTGCAGGAATACCGGAAAAAAACTCGACGCCATGACCGAAAGAGATGTGAGTAATAATTTTTCTAATTATGTCTATAGTAGAGTTACAGATTTTTCTAATTAGTTTAAAATATGCTTAGGTTTGTTGGACCCCGTATGGTACCGGTGCACATTACTTGCATCCTCGGAGCATGTATTACGGCACGATACAGTTCATGGATATAGTGGAGCCGTACATGCCCGACCGAGCGTTGCGGCAGTTTGGAAGAGTCCAGACTATTCCTTTCCCGATAATTGAATCGAACTTGCCACATAACGGCGGCTTGTTTGGCCAAGATACAAAGTCACTTTCCACGCTCCTGGCGGCTTGTGGCAGAACGAGTACGCCAACTTCATTGACCTGTCGCAATACCGTGAAGCCTGGCCGCCGGAAACAGTTGCCGGCTTGTTCATCCTGACTGTTCTACTGCTCTCGTTTTTCACCTTCAATTCATTAATTTGAAGGTCAACTTGCGCATCTAGTGCATTTTGAACTGTATCCATAGCTCCAGTCGATGTTTGGATCCAACGCTTCGATGCACGATGTGCACTCTCTACCCTGTTTCGAGAAAACACTCAAATAATGAATAAATGTAACGTGTGTATAAAAGATTGTACGTAACGAGTTTATAGTAAAATCAATTTATATTCCTGTTAGTCGTCGTGTTACCGAAATGAACGATGTTGTTGGTCCAACACTTAACAAATCTCTCCTTATAAATCAACCACGTTTCGTTGATGTAAGTTATCAACTTCGGATATTGCCCGTACAAACTAACTATCTCTCTATAGTTGCATTCGTATTCTTCCTCAGTCCCAGATTCGACTAACTTTGCCCACACCGTCCTCCGGAACAGTACACCCAACTTGGTGTTACCCAAGAATTTTGACGCGTTTGCCTCAACGTTTCTGTTTATGTGATATAAACATAACATGTGATGCGAATGTGGAAACACGTTTGGCAATGCTTTCAGTAGGCCCAACTCACGATCTGTCAGTATCACTTCTGGTTCTATCCCGATTGGTAATATGTCTCACAAACATCGCAATGTCCATGCATAAGTGTCCTCATCTTCACGTGACATAAAAGCAACGGCAATAGTGAAGTTCCTTCCCACGAGAGTAACCCCAATGATCTCCAAAAGAGGCATTTCATATCTACATAAAGGTAATTATAATTTAGTCAACTCTTATTTATTTATATATATATATATATATATATATATATATATATATATATATATATATATATAAAATATAATATAATAAATGTAATTCACATTTAAATAATTATTACCTGTTAGTCTTGTACGTGCAATCCATCAGGATGACGTACGGAAATAACTGCAAAAGCTTTATTGAATCAGGGTGCGCAAACATAACGTCTTGCACTGCATCACCAGCTGGATTTGTTCGATGTCATTTGTTGTATCCACTCTCACTTAGTTCGTGCCACAGATGTTGTATAACTGTTTTTCCTTTCATTTCCTCTCGTCTAATTTTATGTGATTCATTGTACACATCTCTCAAGGCCGCAGCCGTATCCGGATTCATCTGTCTCAGATGATGCAAAATTTCCTTCGGCTTCACATGGCTCTTTTTCAGTATATTTGTCACTTCTCGTTGCTCTTCACTCAGGCGACTCAGCGAACGTAGTCCTTGTGGATATTTATGAGGAAAATGATTGTAATTGCCATCTTTGATGGTAAGGCGCCATAATCCATCACGACCCTCTTTACCCCATAGCGCAAAAGGGCATTTACACTTTATTGAACCGAACTTCCGGCTTGTTTTGATCTCTGCATTTTTTCCTCGTCTCTTATAGGCTCTTTTACAAGTCAAATATTGTCGGCCCTCGTGGTAAGATTGTCGCATAATCTCATGTCCTTGACTGATGGCCATATTCATCGCCCACTCGACTAGTGCATCTTTACTATCAAATGCAGTCGAAATTGTGAAAAAATCACTGTAATCATGTAGCTCGAATGTTTCAATATCTTCATCCACATCTATGTATATTTCCTGTTTTTATATTAATGTAGTTAGCAAATTATAAAACTAAAGAATAAAACTCAAAAAAAAAAAAAAAAAAAAAATTGTGTTGCTCGTGTGATTTCACACGAACAGAG